ACATACATACATACATACATACATACATACATACATACATACATACATACATACATACATACATACATGGGAAAGTCACTTAACACTAATTTCCCATTTAGCTCGTACCTTCCTGATATGGACGTTGCACTCGGAGGTCCCGCCTCTTAACCCTATCCGTACGACCTGGGGTCATGTTGTACCCCCGGGGTTCTATTCTTCACATTTTAGAATACTTCTAGTTCGAAGATCTGTTTGAAACTTTCAGTATTTCTCAAAAAAATCATTTTGACAGACTGCAATGCAAAGCGTACGGATCGGATTAACGAGTACATTTCCTCTTTGTATGTGGTGACACCGAGTTCCCCACGTTCTATGGATACGATAGTAAAACAAGACGTACGGATAGGGTTAAACAACCAAATAGTGTTGATAGGGGCGTTAAACCTACATGTACCTTAATTTCACCATGTTCACCACTTTGGAATCCACACTAAACCGAAAGAGGTTATATTTAGTACTAGAGGTCGTGGCAGTGATGTCCCCCACGTAAACGAACAGGAGCTGCGTGTGCCCACTCTGGGACATTGAACCTCAAAGGCAAGACATGCACAGTTCAACAGACGGGTGAGTACATTTTGAGACTCACATGGAGGCGTCTCGGTGGTCTTTGGAGGAAATCAACAAGCTTGCTCTGAAATATGGGGGCAGGGTGGTGTTTAATATACTAGAGCTCGTAGGGAGCGGGGTGGGGCCGCAGATTGTTCTTGTAAATGGGGGCACGACGGTCATATCAATGAGAAGGACCCCATGTCTGACACGTGTGACGTCACTGCTGCGAGCTCTAGCATTTATATAACCTCTTTGCATCAAACCACAAACCGATCGCAAAGACAGTGACCCCCAGTTTCTTCAACAAGTCTGCAGCCTTAAAAGTGTCGGACCGGCTTGGGGCATTTCCATCTGTTATTACAATAGCGACCTTGGCCGCCTGTTTTCGGGACATGCTCTGTGGAAATAATGGAGTAGAGTTAACCCTTTCACCTTCACTGCTTGAGTCGACGTTTCAATTTTTTCGTGTCCTCCAAAAATTGATTCACAGCTATTTAGTTCTACTGACATAATATTTTATGAGACGTTTTAGAAGATATGATTACAACTTGATCGGTCACTTATTCTTAAATAAGCGGAGCTATATTATCGTTTTGCTTTAACATCTTTTGTGCAAACGTAGAGTGAGATATCTTCACTGTGAAAGGGTGTACAAGTTGCTTTTGTTATAGTCTATTATAAATCTTTCATAGCCCAGTCACTACTACCTAGATAATGATTTAGGAGACACACTGTTTGTCCCAGTTTCCTCAGACCATTCCGGAATGGTGCGGATCCGATAACTCAGCAGATAGAAGGAGGTACTGAAACAATTCTCTTCCCCACGAAGGACTTGAACTCACATCCTTTGGATTTAAGAAAATGACCCTAACTATTACACAGCAAACACTGATTACAGGGGTTCATATTTTTCTAACTTTCAGGGTGTCCGAGAGCACTGTTAGTCCAGTTTGTATCATTCTGGACTAAGGTTTGCGTCATCCTGGTTCTATTCCACCACAGGAATGTTGCCTGACTTGGGTTGTGTGGGGGCACCCCAACATTTCTGATCCATTTTATCGGATGTGGACGGAACGACTCTAATCTCCCCTCTTCAATTACCTCACAGTGCACGCTGAGAGGGGCTGCAAAACTCATTAAAATAATCTTCTTTAAGTAAGTTAATCTACATAATATGGCTCTCTCTCTCTCTCTCTCTCTCTCTCTCTCTCTCTCTCTCTCTCTCTCTGATTCCCCCCCACACGCACACGCCGTACTTTTTTTCAACCCCAGCGCGTGGCAAGCAGTAAAAATGTGTGTCTCTCTCTCTCTCTCTCTCTCTCTCTCTGTCTGTTTGTCTGACCACTCTCATAATCTATAATTAGCATACATCAATTTAAAAACCTGAACGGGACTTTCGCTGACTAGAGGTACGGTGTTCGCCTCTCATCCAATAGGTCCCAGGTTCGAAATCTGACAGCGACGGAAAATTTTCTACTCTGAAATTTTCTCCATTTACCCCCTTTCCTGCTTTCGAACCTGGTTATCATCATCATCATCATCATCATCATCATCATCATCATTATCATCATTATTATTATTATTATTATTATTATTATTATTATTATTATTATTTTCAAAACGACAACACAAACCTTTCCTCACTTGGAAGGAAATAATGGAGTCTACTTAAAAAATTGCCTGGTCGCGTTATCAACAACAACAAAATAGTAATAATACATTAATTGTCCATACTTGCCTCTTTAGGACACCTGTGCATGTCCCACTGATAGTCCCACTTTCAAAATGGCTGAATCACTTTTTTCGTAATTTGTAATGGAGAAAATGAACCTATATGAACCCATTATTTAGTGCAAGTGGAAACGTGGAAACGTCTCCTAAACGCATTCGGAAGTGATCTCAGAAATGT